GTTCAGTCTAACTATTCCGTCCATTTAGCTGAACGTATTACCAAACAGCTAAACTAAAAACTCTTCAGAAGGTTAAGTGATGAGTGCATAGGGCACCTCAGGAAATAAATAAATGCTCATTAGCAGGAAGCCAATGACAGTAATAATATATGGTATGGCAGAAGTGAGTGTACTGTATACCGGACACACATAGGCATTTTTCTGTGTATTCTGTATCAAATCTATGGAGTCTCAACCTCTGGAAGCTATTGGCAGTCTTCATGGAGCAAGTGACCGGAGGCTGCACCAAATGGTAGATGTGGAATGTCGGAATTGATGTCAAACGATGTCAACAGTGTTCACTCAGAGAGCGTTAAAAGCTGGTGCCCATCCACGCCACCTCATTTGGGAGCCTCAGGTACCTGCTTTGTAGAATCGCTTATTCAGAGAGGAGAACAAGCTTGTACCTGCTTCACGGTTCATAATGGATGCCACCTTGAAATACAGACTGCGATTCATACTTCCTCAATTTGCACATTTGGCCAACTGATAAGAGTGTTGTATGCCTAGGATATTTAAAGACAGAGAAGGAGGGAAGGAGCCAAATAACACACCTTTAGTGAGGTTTCTGTTGTGAGGTAACAATGGCCACCTGACTCTCATTTTGGAAATGAGCTATGATAAACCTTGAACTGGGTCATCTTTATGGCTACCCTAAATAAGATCAGAGCCCAGAGAGATCTCAGCGGCAAAAACAAGAGCAGCCCCAGGACCCTGCTGATCGACACACACACCACTAATTCACCTCAATGGGAAGGCACCTCTGAGCTCAATTAACCCTTATTCCCAAGGCCACCAGTAAACCCTGAGGTAAACACGGCTCTCCAGACCCTGGCTTTCTATCAATGAAATAGGTCATTTCTATCAGAGGCCGAGCTTGTAAATTCACCTTGCTAATCAAGAGCCTGGTGCTTCTGGTGCAAGCGCTAGCTAGAATCAGGTAGCATTGGTTCTGTAAGCCGGACAGTTTTAAACCACTGAGGGCATTTGTGATTTCTTTTGCCTTCTGAGGTGATTTGAAGAAAATATATATGTGATGGTGGTGGAAGAGGTGATCCAGAAATGTCCCCAATGCAATTGTCTGCACACACACATTGCTTGTTAAATATGTACTGGGGGCTGAATGATTTTGCTCTCTCCTATTTTTTTTTTTAAAATTCTTCGCTTTTTTTTTTTCTTCTCGCAGCAGCCATTGTTCAAAAGCAAATTGGAAATCGGGTAATTAGGCCCTGACTCACAGTGTCGTATTAAAGTCCCAAGCCAAAGTTCAACACCCTGAAATGAAATTTAAACCAATTAATCTGTTAGATTTTTATCGCTTGTCCGTGTTTTCTCAGCAATTCCCCCAGCACGTGGCCTTTGATCAACTCTCATACAAACGCTAAAATGTGTGCCCGCTGCTAGCAAGACGGAATGACATTAACACGGGCCTCATAAAACAATCAGAGCAGAGAAGCCCTCAAACAGGGAGGGCATAGTAATATTTAATAAAAGCGCACACATAATCTTCAGAATTAGCATTCTGTGCCGTGCAGTACCTCTGGGAGAAGAGCTTTTATTTGGGGAGTGATCATTATAACAAAGAGGCACTACCTAATAATTCCCACTTTAATTCTGCAGCGTGCCAGGAGCGCTTCAGAACCATTATGCTAAACTGGCGGGGTAATCATGTTATTGTCACAGTTTGAAGGAAGGAAAAGCTCGACTCTGGTGGCTGGTAAAGGGTGGGGGAAGCATTCAAGAAAAGAAGAGGGAAAACTTTTTATTTTTAATGCAATTTAGAGCCAGAAATGGGTCTGTTGCCCTTGTGGACAGAGTGTGAAAATACGCTGATGGGAAGGAGTCTTTCATTAATTAAACCATGAATTTCCTGCTTGGAAAAAAAAAAAGAACAGTCCTACTTTCAGATCTGCCCCTTCACTTCCCAAGCCATAATGATTTTTCTATTTGTTTGTTTTGTTTTGGGAAAGAATGCTATGGATGATCTCGGCTCATTATCCAGCTCCTGCAAATCTCTTTGCTCTCCAATTCTGCTGGAGCCGGCCAGCGGGGCTGTGAAAACAATGGTCTGTGCCTGCTCCTCTGAGGGGATGGCATCAGTGGAAGTGAGACTCTGGCTGCTTTGAAGGTTCTGCAGCATCCCTAGACAACTTACCAGCAGGGAGGAGGGGAGAGGAGATCCAAGGACGCTAAGAATCCCAGCTGATGTCAGGTCCTGGCCTGGCTACTTTTTAGTATTGATTTGCTCTAAAAAGTACAAATGTCACCACATGTCCTGCTCCACTGAAGTTTTTACTCATGTGTTACCTTAGTATCTGCTCAGCGGAAACACATCAAGCCATATAAATGTTAATAGAATGAACATTATAGCCATCTTTTCCTGTCAAACCCAGTCCAGTCCCGTTCGCTTTTCAGAAGGACCCGCTGTGGAGAAGTGCTGTGCATCCTGTCTTCCAGACTTTGGTCACATGTCACCTGGAATCCCACATACACACAAATACTCACGCACATAAAGGCTCTTTACATAAAATTTTTTAAATTAGCTGGAACACGTTGTTCGGATTGTTGTCTGCATATTTTATCCGTCCCTCAAGATGGTATTGCATTGGATATTTCCTCCTTTAGGGCTCAGTGTTCTCTTCTTTTCCCCTGGCTAGTTGACCGATAGGTTGGCTTCTGAACAGTTGCTCCTAGTAATTGACAACAGTATCACTTTCCTTTAGTTCAAGTATTTCCAAGTGTGTGTGTGGTTTGTGTGTTTGTGTGCGTGTGCACATGCGCATACAACGCAACAATATATCTCTACACTCCCACCCATCTCCAAACCCCCAAACACCTACACAGTCACATACACCTAGCCCCTACACACACACACACACACACACATTCACACATGTGTACTTTGTAAGTAACAAGATAAACAAGGAAAAGAATCGAGTGTAAACTCAACAGGTCTAACCATGTAAGTTCTCTCCATAGATTTCTTTTAGATGCTCAGCTGTGCCCTTTTGTGTCCTTTTTAAGAAGTTAGAAGAGACTTTGCTCATCTAAAAACAATTGTGTCTGCATCATAAAAAAAACTGAAACAGAAACCGCAAAGCTAATAGATGTTAACATAAAGACCATTTTGAAATCTGCATGGATAAACAGTCTCGGCATTTAATGACACTACTGCAGTTCATGCTTCGCAGCTAGATGGCGTTTTCATGCCCAGGTCACCTAAACCAATATTGAATATTTTCCCAAGGCATCTAGAGAGACAGCAACATCTTTTGTATGTTATCCTGCTACCTAAATATATGGAGTTATAAATCAATAAAAAACATATCTGGTGATACTAACAAAATGTTTCCAAAATGGTTAAGTTTTATGAAATTTTTGTAGTTGGGTGTTACTTATCTATTTTATAAACAGCTTGAAATCCTACATTGTATTAGGCCATTGCTTCAGAAGCCTGTAGCCATGTGGGTCAACAGTTTAGTTTTCAAGAAAGCTCTTGTAGAATAAAAAGTCCTGTGCCCTTGAGACACTTTTCCCTCCCCGCCCTGTGTAGGTCAAAACTGGACAAGAATGAAGTTCAGTCATGGATCCTTTATATGTTCTTAATTAATTGCTTTGTTTGGGGATAAAATGCAGGAAAGTAAGTACCCAAGCTGCCCTGTTTCAGCTGCAGATGTGTTCCTGTGAGTTCAGCCAACACCAAATGTTTGGTTTGGATGTTTTCAAACTTCTCTGTGCAAGGTTTGGAGGATTAATTTGAATCCGGACCAACACCATCCTACTTGTTTGTGTGGTGGCACGTGAACACTGGTCCCACGGGGATTAACGAAATGTTTTCTTTGCTTCTTGCAAAAGTTAAAACAGGAGACTTTGCCAAATTTGACCAAGTCCAATCCTAATTATTATTATTTTTCCAGTACTTCCCACTCACATTTGTAATTAGCTGGTGTTCTCCTTGGCACCGGTGTTTGGGAAGTCGGTCTTGAATACTTGTGGAAGAGGATGGTCTCGCTCTCTCTTCTTGCACACTGTCTCACTTGCTGTCTGGTTTTCTGGGGTGCTGTTTGGTAAAGGGATGACTATCAGAAGACAAACTGCATGGCACTGATGGGTTAAAGGCCTTCTGTGGCCTCAAGCTGCCTTCAGAGAGGTTTCCAAGTCATAATCTTAGCACCCCGTGTATTTTTAGTACTGTCCAGAGGAAGAGCTGCTCATTAGGAAAACCACCTAACTTGTGCTTGCAGTCACAGCCTTTGCAAATGAAGGTCATTTGCAATGGAAAGAGAAACCAGTCTGTACATTTTTATGCCCTGGAAATACAACAGAGCCCAGGTCGTGAAGAAGGTCTGGGCTTCAGCAAGACCACTGCTCTTTGTTTGCATAAGACACCCCAAGTAACCTGGAACTTTGAATCTATAAAATGGGAGCCATGACATGTATTTGAAAAAAAAAATGGAATGATTTTTTACTGCGGAATGTTGCTGTGTTGTTATTACAGAGAGAAAAGCAACGAGCAAAAATCCTTCCTGCTCCAGCCTCCCGCTTGCCTTGTTAGCTTCCCATTGGGCAGGAATGTTCACTTAAGAATGTAGACATTTTCCCTTCACCAACTATATTCAACTTTGAAGCGATTCTGTAACGCTTTCACTGTGTTAGAATCTCTAGCATTTGATAAACTCAGTTTGTCTTCTGGGGTTACATTTCACAAGCTTTCAAGATTAATAAAGAGATTAGTGAAAGAAATGGATGCATCTCAATAGGAGCAATGAAAAAGATGCCTTTAAGAACTAAACGTGGCTCCCTGGGTTTCTGGTCCTGATGTGGCGAGGAAATGTTGAAGTCTTGAGAGACTTTCTGTTAGTGAAAAGATAAAAGATTTTTATTTCTTTTTCTCAAGTCTCCCATCATTAAAGCTTGGTTCTAACAGCAGACTCCTTCTCTTTTTCATGTGTGTGGAAAAGCAGCTACTCCCTGTATCAAAGCCATCAGCCCGAGTGAAGGATGGACGACGGGAGGCGCGACTGTGATCATCATAGGGGACAATTTCTTTGATGGGTTACAGGTCATATTCGGTACCATGCTGGTCTGGAGTGAGGTAGGTGTTGTCTGAACATTAATATCTAATAGCTTGGTCTAGTTGAAGACACGGTCTATACTTGAATTTCTAATAGAATGTGTAGGACATAGTGGTACCACTCTGGGTGGCCCACCTCCAGTCTATAGAACTTTGGAAACTAGGAAAGATGAACTCAGTTTTCCAGGAGACCCTGCTTGCTATTGGAATCATTTCCATCTAAGCCATGAACACCAACAGAGCTTGCTGTTTGGCGGTTTGTCCTTTTGGACTTGGTAGGAGGAAGGTCCTTTTGTATAATGGGGAGTGAAAAGAAGATGCAAGGTTATAAAATGTATAGGAAAATATGTACAAACGGAAGCAAGTCAATTATGTGTGGACAGTCCATAGACAGAGTCAACTATGACTTTGAGATTCAGAGTCTCCTATTAAGATGACAGTCATAATGCAGGGAGTCCTCGACTTACACAGTGACTCTCAAACAGAATGAGTCACTGGGGGGCCCTGAAGAACCCAGGGTTTTCCACAGAAAGAGCATTCAGCTTCCCCTGGTCCTTGATAGTGTGACTCCCACCATGTGACCGTGAGTGTTCTATGTGTGCAGTGCTTTCAGCATTGGGCATCTGACCTGGCTGACGTATCCAGCAAATAACTGGCATTTATTTAAGATCTGAGAACACGAGCATCGTCATTTCAGGGAGGTCACAATAGACACCTTCATTATCTGAATTTGGAGCCCAGGTATCTTAGCCCACACATTCAAAGCCCTTATGGACCCCAAAGTACAAATTAAATACAGAACCTAGACTACAGGAGCACGGAGGTGGCTCGACCCCACTTGTTTTCTAAGTAGTCCTACTTGGCCTTGCAGAGTCTTGGGATCTAGGCCAAGTGTTCAGCATTTGAGATACTGTCACATCCTTCTCTCTGTGACACACACCAACACACACTCTCAGATGCAGCTTGTGCCTTGAGGCTTAGAGATAAACAGCCATTGACTAAGAGTGATGACCCGGAGCCCTCGGGGGTAGAAAGGGGACCGATGTATATGTAGTCATACAAAGAAGTGAGAGTCAGCCAAGCTTTGTGACCCCTGATCCTGCTTGTCGTAGCAGGGTGCCACCACTTAGCTCTTCTAGAAGCTTTGTTTTCTTCTTTTCGGGGTTGCAAGAATGTGCGGAGGGTTGGCTGTGATAGTCGGGCATGTTTTCCTGACTAACACACCAAAGAGGACCTTGTCCATTTTAGAGTTATCCACATACTCTTTGCACCAGCAGCCACCCACTCGACCTGTTGGTCATCCTAGCCAGCATGCTGCTACAGCCTTGATCGCTTCGCACTCTGCCCAAAGCAGTAAAGCTCTTAGAAAGTTGAATCAGAACCAGGCTTCTCAGTCCATCCAGCTAACTGTTATCTAAGCTAGAACATTCTGGGCAAGAAAAGTGTACTAAATGTCCTCCTGCCAACTGTCTCGCGTTTTTTGCTGGAAGCACCAGGGTACACATGAAAGGGATCAGCTCCATGGCTCATGTTGTTGCCAGCTGGTGTCTTCAGCCTGAGGTAAACAGTGTTCTATATGAGAATAGTCTTTCCCAGGTCTTGGGAGCCACATCTTCAATCTTTCTGTCACTTTTTCTGCTGTTTATTGGGGAGCAGGGCAGGGGAAAGAATAACTCCAAGGTGGTCCCTGTGTCAGAGCGATCAGATGTGGACTGGGGTAGAAATCAGAATGGGCAGAAAGTTAATTGACAAGAGAAGATTAATCCAGGGCAGTTGGAAGGAAAGTGTGCCTGCTACAGGCTAGTAGGCTCTACTGGAGGTGGGAAAGGGCGTACTAAGACCTCACACATCTGTGCCCCACCTTGACGCTAGTTTGGCAAGGTGGCCTGACTCATCTCTATTCTCCCAATTCTTGTTGGTGAAAAGGTAGCCACGGTTGACACTGTCTACCTTAGGTTTGCCAAGGCTGACAACCAAACTGCTTTGAAAGATTTGTTTCCACATAGTGAGTAACAGAGAAGGCACGGAAAGGAGAATTTCTCACAGTAACTGTGTATCTTCTTTTCTCCCATTCCTGGCCCCCTAATACCACTGCCATGCATTGCCCAGAGTCGAGGTGGCCTCCAGGTCAGGGTACCTGCTGGCTTTTTGCTCTTCTCCTCTTTTCAAGTGTCCTAAGGAACTATGTCCTAAATTAGGAGTTCTGTCTCAGTGGAAACTCATGTTGTGGTTTCTAAGAGAATTTAGCAGTTATCCTTGTAGAATTAACAAGGTCACATAGCCAGATCCTATCAGACAGTAGTCTGATCCATACAGTGTAATCTCAGAGAAGTAGGCACTGTACTAATAAGAACAAATGTAATCTTGAGCAAAGGAACAATCATAGGAAGTGGGAATTCATAGAGTAATCTGAGCAATACAGAAGCAGAGCATCATAGTGATAGCAACAGGTGAGGTAACAATGGTGGTTAATTCTAAATCAAACAGAAGTCTTTTGCTTTTTATGGGGCAAAATAAATTATCGATCAAGTTCAAAGCCATTTGTCAAGGCTTGGATTGGCTAGGATCATAGCTCAATATTGTATTTAAGATCTGGTATCTGTGATAAAGCTCTAGGAAAATACAGTTTGACTAAGTAGCTGGCATTCCTGGAGACCTTACTTCCAGCCAGGCAGCATGCCAAGTGTTTATGATGGCTGTCATGCAAGCCGTGGAACCATTGCACACAGTGCTGTTCTGTTCAGGAGCAGGAGACTCCGTAGTTGGTCAGCTACTAAGTTTTTTTCAGGTTAGAGGTGGGACTTGAACTCACAGGTCTGCTTGTGAAGCTCAACCTCACAACAGCTCCTGCTTTAACCTGGACCATGGCCCCCCATCTGGAGATCTTAACCCCTGAGGTTAGGGTGTTGTTCCCGTCCTTGCTAGCACTGCCCCCATGCTGGGGGCAGGGCTCCTACCAGTGCTGGCATCTTCACCAGCCTGTGGAAGTGGCATGTAGTCTCACAGATCTACGAGGGAGACCCTGCATTTTTCAGTTGTGTATGTTTTGGTTGGAGTCACCAAGTTCTAGGGAGAAGTTATCCTCACAAAGTAAAGAAAAAGGACAGATGCTGTGGTCAAGGAGCAAGACAATTAACCTGCCTGGGCCGCTTCTCTGGAATTAGGTCCCTGTTTATCCAATGCCTTTATTCCTAACCACGTGATTTGTGGACATGACACCTCTAAGATCCAGTACCTGTAATCTGAAGTAGGCTTTTTTTTTTTTTTAATATTTTCTCCATCTCCGTCACTCCATAGCCCAGAGCACCGAGGCTGGTGCACCAGGACAAGCAGATAGTGGTGTAGATGAGCAGTTGACGCTATTACGTGCAGCCTTTTTTTAAGCTGGAGAATTTAAAGAAAGAAAAGGCAGAGAAAATAGGAGCAGCTTAATTTACCCTCAACCGTGTGCTCCTCTCCCACTGAGTCGTCTTTTGCAAATGAGTAGTTCTGCTTAGCCCCTTGCTGTCCCCCGAGGGCTGGAAGAGGGAAAGGTGATGCTCCATGGGTCCCGCCCGCCCTCTGTGTGCGCTCCTGTCACAGGATTCCTGTGATTGTATTCACCATCCTTTTGTTCTTTTTTTTGTGATGTTTCTTGCCTTCTTTCCTATCCTCCCTGTTAGTCAATTTTTAACTGATAATATTTTTAACTCCGTCTTCCTGCCTTACCCCCAGTTACTTAGGAGAAAATGCACTGTAGTGTTTTATACATCCACGGAGGAAAGCCACCGGGGTTGATGAGAGCTAAGCTTGAGTGTGGGTGAGTGGTTTTTCCTTTCTTTCCTTGAGCAGCAGTGTGGTTGGGTGCTGTGCTTTACCTCCCACAGGGCACGTGGAGCAGGGAGGGGCCTGTGCGACTGGTCTGTGCAGCGCATCATCATTTCAATATCTCTTCTGAATTCCTTCCATTTCTAAACAATGAGTAGGAGCTGCCTTGCCTACCGGTTGGCTAACACTGGGATAGGTACCGGCGGCAATGAAAGTCGGCCTTTGCGGGATCTGGTGTTTTACTTGGAAAGACAACTTGCTCCGATGAAACAAATTAGAGAGTTGCATAACATTTATATAATCTAGTATTAAATTTGTGGCTTGCAGTTCATGGCAAGGTTCTAGAAGACGGGGAGTCAGAGGGAGACGGCTCAGAAAACCAATCAAGTTCCAATTATTTTTGGATGGCCCTGTGGTAGATATTTTAGGCTCTCACGATCTTTTTATTTAATCACAGAAATAGCAAACAGGATGCATACTAAGGTATTTAATTGACCTTTTTTTTTTAAAGTACAACACTGAGATGGGGGTAACAGCAGAATATATTCTAAGTGATGGTGTAGATTACAGGGGCTAGTGGTGGGAAAAAGTCAAGAATGGGCAGTTGCTCAAGTCGAACTACTCAGAAAATAGAGAGCTACTATTCAGTGGCGGGGATTGGGCCTTGGTTTTCCCACTTGGAGATGAAGCATCTACACTGCATTTTCTTTAAAATCAACCATACAGTTCCTTTCCTCTAGAATGTTCTCCTCAGAATCCTCACAGCCAACAGAGGCAGAGGTGGACAGAATGCGGTGGGAGGCAGCTCCAAGTTCACACCTCTGTTCTTTACTTTGGACCACACTTGGCAGCCACCAGATACCCAGCCGGTTTACAAAAGCATTCTTAGGCCATCACCAAAACAATGTAATTAGTCACGAAGTTGGCTCTCCCTACTGCTGTCCCCAGTGAGTACTTTCTCGTTCTCGGGTCCTCGGGCTCTAGTATTTGCTACAAACAGGAAGTATACACAACACCATCCTCCAGATAGTTCCATGCAGTGTTAGTTTCTAGGGATATTAATAGATGTCCCACGCCAGATGAGAGAATGAAATTCTTTTAACCCCATTGACTTTGGTAAATTTTGAGAGAAACACATTGAGCTTCCGCTTGTGTAACTTTTGAGGCGCCATCATGCCCTGAGTCCCTAGGATTTGGTGTTCAACATGTTGCAA